TAACACAATAAACGTTGAGAATGCTCTCCTTGAAAACTTCTTATTCAAACGATGTCGTTAGCTCCAGGGATTAATAATCCAGCAATTGACAACTTAGTTCAATCCTCCTTGGAAAGTGACTTAAGACTTGAATGGATACCTTACGAGAAAATCACCGACATAAAGCCAACTCAAATTGACAATGTCTATTATGCTATTCACAATAATGGTGAAGTTTCTGAAAGTATGATAACGTTGGTGTTTGTTGAAAGCGATGAAACCTGTACACCAACACTTGTGCGTGAGTTTGCTAGAATATACTCACTTCCAATACACAAATGTAACAATGATGTCGGCCAATATAGACGATATTCTGCATGGCTTAAGGAGCGGAACAAACTCGTAAAGGGGTTTACCAAGTATGACGACAACTATTACATGGTTGCCGATGAATTCTTTTACGATTCTTATTCTCGATATGGATTCTGCACTGCATGTGGAATACTCCGATGCAGTCCTGTGTGGTGCATCTGTGGACATAAACAATTGTCCGATGGATGGACTAGCAACAATAAGCAACTGGATGAGTTTATTAAAAAATCTCAATTACAAACAAATTCAGCAAATCAAGCCTATTTGGAATGGATTCCGTTTGATTGTATTGATGATAAGGGATATGGCTTATACTTATATGGTCTACCTGCTTATTATTATGTACGTGTTAAATTAACTCCGCTTGAGATAACAGACGAGACGCATGGTTTATATTATGCCGAGGTAAATCATTTACTTATTATTATGCGTCATGTTTCTGAATAGTTTAAATAATTATTGACTTATCATTTCCACTAGTTATGTGATAAGCATCCAGATATTCTTACCACGGATGTTTGGATTACCATCGGATTCACATACGATGAAAGTAAACAAAAGTATTGTCTAATGGAAGAATATGATGGACATGGATTGTGTCTGGCATGTATACGGCCATTAGAACCTCACATAAATGCATTCTGTTATGAATGCCAAGCACCACAACCTGTCGATTGGACAACGGGCAACAAGTCATTGGATTCATTCATAATGAAATCATGGAGTAACACAAGGAATGAATGCGATGCGTATATACAATGGATCGCATACTCTCTGTTATCAAACGTACAAGAGATGGCATCATTACGTCATGGATGCACGCATATAGCAGATTGGTTAGAACCGAAAGCAGATAAATTGACACGTGTGACACTCAAAAAGATAGTTGATGAACAAAGCGATCAGTTATTTGATTTTCATCAGGTAAAGTATTCACGTGTAAATGCAAATAGCATTACAGCACGCGTTTAAATTAACCAGTGTTGTATTTATTTACTCAAATAGCTGACTAAGGAATACCCCGAAATATTAACACCCGACAATATTTGGATAGTCGGGATCACTCAGGAGCCATCTACTCGGAAATATTATTTAGTTTTTTATCACGACGTACATGCACTATTGGACAGGTTTATACAACATAATGAACGTGTAAAGCGCATGCAGTATAGCGACTTTCACGAACTCAAAAAGATCGGATCTGGTGGTTACGGAACAGTTTATACTGCCAAGTATAAAGGAGGAGAAGAGAATATCGAGGAAACTGTTGTGCTCAAACGGTTTAAGAGTTTTGATGAAACGCCGGATTTATTTTTTTCCGAGGTAAGCAATAATTGATAGCATTAATTAAAGTAATATTTAATTTGACTCTATTCGTTTTTATTTAATAGTTCAGAAATCATACCAAGTGCTCAAGTGCATATAATGTATTCCTAAAAATTTATGGAGTCACAAAAGACCCAGAAACAAAAGAGTACTTGTTTGTTATGCAATATGCTAACAATGGTAGTCTTTTGTCTTATTTGGATCAAAATATTAGCAAATTGACGTGGAGGATGAAATTAGAGTGTTTGAAGGATATTGCATTTTCTCTGAGAGAGATTCATAATGTGGGTTTAGTGCATTGTGATCTTCATAGCGGAAACATAGTTTTGCTTGGTGATGCGGCCGACACCATCACACCATTAATATGCGATCTTGGTCTCTCACGATTGGTGAATTCGCAAGAGTCAAATTCAACCATTCAAGGCATTTTACCCTTTATTGCACCGGAAGTCTTCCATACCTGTAATTTTACTCAGAAATCAGACATATATTCTTTTGGTATCATTATGCATTTGGTTGCTACTGGTGAACCACCTTTTAGAGATAGGCAGTTCGATAGAGATTTAGCATGCAACATTATGGGCGGACTACGACCATCGATGCCTGATTCCGCACCAGAGGAGTACCAGGAACTTGCCAAGTGGTGTTGTGATGCTGATCCTGATATGCGTCCAGATGCAAGGACACTTGAGCGTGGTATTTACAATCTTATTGACGAGATTAACAAGAATGACAACACGTGGAACACTATCTATCATAATGATGTAAAACCCTTATCACGTAGAGTAAATATTCTAGTACGCTCTTACCTACAGGAGAATTACCTAAACCAAGAAATAGTTGTGAGGATTCAGCTGCAGGTATGGTTACACGTTGGTACAAATAAAGTAATTTATAATATTAACCAGGGCTCTAATATTAACACCGTACATTTCTTATAATAGAGATTCAAACTCTTTTTTGAACAAACTTGTAATTCAACGGGCTTATTTACAGTTATCCGAGTTTTATTTAAAGGTTTACTCCTCTTTGATGGTTGAGTTAACAAAGATGCCGAAATAAAATCCTGTACGTTTAGGGTAGATCATTTGACTATGTAAGAAAATATTTTAATATGTATTAAAAGTAAATCTTGAGACTAAAATTGGTAATCTAAGAACTAAACCTTAGTATTAGGTCATTCCACGGTATATTACGCAAGTGATGAATCATCAACCCACTTATATCCCTCAACGCCCCGTAAATGCAAGTTTAACGGCGGAAATAAAATTGCCTACACAAGTGTGCCAACCATATCAACTGTGCGTGAGTTTGAGCTGTTTCACAGTAAGATATCCCTGCGTCAGATTAAGATATTACGAAATTCGTGTCTGCATTGACAATCTTCCTGACTGTTATGATGTTCACTTCGCTGGCTTCACTTGATGAATTGGAACTTTTTCCTAAAACTATTCTTTTTATTTTTGTTTGGGAGTGTAGTAGAGTCACAGCATGAAAAAGTGTTATTGAAGGACGTAGATTCGTTAACCTTTTACAGTGGCCCCAAGTTACGGTCTCTAATTAAGAAAGCGTCTCATTATTATAGTTACAAGTTTCACAGATGTCATGCGTGAATGGAAAAGCGTGCGGTGAATTTATACCAAGTGAGTTTGATTTTTCTCTTTTCAACCAACGATCATGTTTACTAACTTTCCCTTGATTAGGCTCTATAACATGTTCGAACGTCGGTACATATGGATATATCATCCACAATGGAGATGTCAAGCAAGATTACCAAAGCATCAGTTGGTTACTGTAAATTGTGAGGGTAAGGAATGTGACGTTAAGTATTATCACGAGTTAAAGTTACGATGAGCGATTGCATATGTACTCGTCATTATATTCTATAAGGGGTTAGGTTATAATGAACTAACCGATTGACGTATTATAGGAAAGTTGTGGACTGTTGTACATTGGCGGGTCAAAGAAAAGCTATCAGTTTTACGACTCGTATGACTATTCTCAGTCTGACCGTACCTTTACATGACACATGATGTTATGAAAATCAGATAAACCAAATTGCATTGGAATAACCCTTAGCTTTATCCTAACATTCCAGAAATGTTTGGTTACATGTTCGGTTTAATGTTCGATTTACTATCCTTCGGTTATCTCGATTTATCCTACATTCTGAAAATGTTTGACTACATGTTCGGTTACGATGTATCCTACATTCTAGAAATGTTTGATTGCATGTTCAATCTACCATTCTTCGGTTTTGTCGCGTTTTTATATATCATTGTGGCCGTCGTGACAGCATATGTAAACTAATCTATTTAATGATAACAGCTACCAGGGGTCTTCTCTGACCATCGATGGGGGGGTTGGTATTAGACGAAGTAGTACTTATACCGACCGCGACTGCGTATGTATGCTGATACTAAAATTAGGTAGAAGCAGAAAGTGGTGAGTATATAATAGCGTGAATTATTAGCGAACGCGTGGAGGGGTGGTGAGCTCACGATATCGAAACATTTGACTGATATTATGGGCCTCCGGTCCCTGATCAATCATAATAATAAGTGGAATAAGAAATCTTAGAACATACTTTGTTAATGTTTTTTCTTTTTCAGATTAACTATTTTGTCTGAATTAGTTGCCTGCTTAGCCTGCTCTCGAGCAGTAATCTTCATCTTTTAATATTGTATCACTAAAACTAATTTCGAGATTGTAGATAAACCTGCCTACTGCTATGGTGTTATTATTAATCAGAAAAACTTGTTGCTTTAGCATTTAACATAAATTCAGTAATATTATCAATAAAAAAATGTGAAGTTCGTTTTTATCCAATTGCATCTTCTTGGAATGTATTTAGGCTCGTTGTTTGCATGTGAATTAGGGACCTTGGCACGTCAGTGGAAAATTAACAAATGCTTGCTTTCTCTTTTTCACATTTCTTCAACTCAATTATTTTATCCTCATCTGGTTCAACGATAATATTTTCCTAAAGTCTGTCTGTATATTTTAGCCGATCTTGTTGGCATTAAAACTCCGGCATAGTCACAGACAAGTAAGCTTCACCTTCACCTAGGAAGCAATGCAACTTATATCACTATTATATTTCTTTCTAATTAAATAAATTTCTTATATCGGGTTTATTTAATATAAACCTGGTTCGGGTCGGGAAATACTCCCTCTTATGTACTCAAACTCTTTTATTGAGCATCCTCGTAACCAGCCGGAGGGTTCCTTCGTCTGTTGGGAACTTGTAGAAATTTTTCGATTTTAATTTTGCAAATATCAAACAGAAAAGAAGAAATCACCGCAGAATTTCATATCTAAATTCAAAAGTATGCCAGCTTACGTGGATATGATTTAGGCCATGATTCTGGCGGAACATAGCCAAAGTAGTCTTTTCTGATCTTGGGAACTGCGATCACCGCCACTGGGCCTAAACTTAATAGAAGGCACCTTATAATCCACGTTCATGCATTAAATTGTCAGTAATTATGCGATCAACGTCGATATTATACCAGCAATTCCAAGCACCAAGCTCCAAAAGTAAGACGGCTTCTCGCGCGCTGCATATCGCTAATTTTTAAGTCGAACAAGTTTCGTCAGTTTTTTTTTTTTTTTATCAAAACCAGTCGTTCAATCCCACGTTCAACTTACAAGATACTTTATTGGATGTTGGACAAAAGTTGTCATCGCTTCGGTATAAAGATTGTCGAGGTGAGGGAAGGGAATTGTTGAATTTTTTTTTTAGCACAATTGGTTATATCGATCATGCCTGCAATTGGTTGGCCAATGGGATGCTAGACTGGCTAGCGATTATAATTAAAGCATTTCTTTAAATATACTAATTGAAAATGACACCGACAGTTGTTAATAGGCAACTAGATAGAAGGCTGTTAATTCATATTCGAACTACAGCTTCCAGTCTTCTCTGAATATTTTAACAATATGGCGGCACGCGGTGGGATTAATGCTAAAGGGGAGGCTGTTCCTCAGCCTGTAAAAGTTCAGCGTTATTGGCCGGGTAGAGCACCGAAGGGTGTGAAAGAATATCTATCTTCAGAAGAAGAGGATGAGGAAGAGCAGCACTTTGAAAAACAGAAGGAAACAGAGTTAATAACCAGTACTTACCAGATCGAGATCTCCGAACAAGAGGCGGCTTCTGATAGGCGTTTACGCAGACTGAGAGAAGCAAAAAATGCAGGCCACGAAACATCCAGTCGACGGCGACGACATGCTGACGAAGATACAGACGAAGCCTCCAGGAACATACATAAAAGCGAGGGAATTGATGACGAAGATGAGGATGATATTACTTCTCGTCGCCAACGTCTTCGTGAACATGCTCTCGAACAAAGACGGATAGAGGAGGAACAATTAAAAGCTCAAGAAGAAGCGGAAAAGGCTCGATCTGTACAGGAAGATACAGAAGAGGAAGAAGAAAGTGAAGAAGAGGATAGCTCTGAGTATGAGACTGATTCGGAGGAGGAACAGCAGACCAGAAAATTGTTGAAACCAGTATTTATCCCGCGTGCACACAGAGAGACGATATTAGAGAAAGAGAGGTTGGAGAAGGAAGCAGAAGAAGCAGAGGAAAAAAGATTGCAAGCGCTTGAAGAAAGGAAGAAGGAATCGCATGCGCTTGTGGCTGAACAAATTCAAAAGGAATTAACAAAGACTGGTATGTGTCATTTCCGCGTTTTAATATAATTGTTGAATCCACATCACGCTTTCCTGAGTCTTTATGGTAATTTCAATTATTTTATCCTGCAGTCGATGAAGAGACCGGTAAGGTGGAAGTGGATGATACAGATGGACTCGATGAGCAAGCCGAATACGAAGCATGGAAACTCCGGGAACTAAAACGTGTCAAACGAGATAGAGAAGAGCGAGAGGCGTACGTATTATTGTTATTATTATTATTATAACAGGTCTACAATGATGCTGAGATTTTTAATGACGACCTCCTTTTTGATTTCAAAAGTCGGGAAAATGAGAGAGAAGAAATAGAACGTAGGCGACAAATGAGTGATGAGGTGCGATTTAAAGAAGACTTAGAGAGAGCGAGGAAATCACGCGAGGAAAAGTCGAAAGGAAAATACAGATTTCTACAAAAGTACTATCATAAGGGTGCATTCTATTTGGTAAGCTTTTTTGTTGGACAAAATCATGTTTATTGAAATCACTTTTGGAGAAAATTATTAGTGTCACTCACGCGTAATGAGGCATTTTGTTAGGATACGGATGATAAGTTATTCAAACGAGATTATACCGAGGCTACACCGGATGAAGCTGGTAACTATTGTCATCGGATAATAATATCCTGCTACACTATATATTGATGCATATTGACATGATCGATTTTTCCCCGATAATAGCTCATAAGGAATTATTACCAAAGATTATGCAAGTCAAAAATTTTGGTCGGGCAGGACAAACAAAATGGACCCACTTGGCCGACCAGGATACCTCAACAGTACGTTTTATGACATACATTATTGATCCGCACACTTTGGTTCAATAAATTCTGACCGGTGCGATATTGTCTCTTGTTTTAAAACAGAAAGATTCTCCATGGCGTCAGAAGTTAAAACGAACAAACAACGCGAGGGATGATATTGACAGATCACGAAAGCGAAGAACCAGAGACCGTAATTGAGGGGGGGGGGGGGGTACTGGTCCGTATACATACCGTTACCGGCAAAAGTAATGGCGGTCGGTTTTTGGGACGTTATGAGCGCAAGTTGGTGGATACATACAAATAAAAAGACTTTTATGAAAGCCAAACATCATGGCTACAAATTTTATTAACGACTAAACGTGTTAATATGATTAAAAGGTATTTTATAGTTAAAGGGCTTTCTAACGATTTATCGATTTACAGTGTAGTGATTCTTTATCAAGTAATACTATAGAAATCATAATTCAAATTTATACGGTTTGGACCAGAGTTAGATCATGTGCAGTTTGAGCAAGAAAAAACCAACATATTAATATGCGTAGTCTATTCGGAAGATCAAATAAATTCTTGTTAAGCGATTCTTCTACGCCATTTAGCCGATGGCTTTGATTTCCTCCTTTTCTTTTTGCTCTATTGCTTAGATTAGTTATCTTTGGTAACAGTGTTGACAAATAGGTATTGGCATGTGTTCAGGCCTATTCTCCATCCAAACCTTACATGGGAGAAACTGTGCCGATCAGGGTATAATGTGTATATCAACATCGCGCACACCACTACGACGCACCACTACTCACCACGACGCACCACCCACAGATATTTTGTAGACTATAACTATAACTATACCAAATATTAGATTTTTGAGCAAATTACAGTGATAGTGATTATTGTTTTGTTCATTAGTAGGTAACAAACAACATAAGGGAATAAGCCGTTAAGACAAATGAGCATTTTTTCGGTTTGGTATACCTCTCACTCTCACAAGGGCAAGTAAAACGTCTATCACAATACAACAGATAGTATTCACTTTTCGCTTTCTGTAATGTATGTCCATAATCCAATTTAATAAAGTACTCATTATCATACTAATCAATACATCATACTCCAGACTTTGGTTGTTTCAGTTTCTTTGGTTTATTAGGTGTGTAGGGATTCCTTTGCCTCAATAATTGTTACTTTCCGGATGGATTGTAACATAGGTATTACTACTATTTCCTGCATGATCTCAAGGCTCCATCAAGCAATGCCCGGAGGAAGGTCCCCGAGCGCCACGTCATTTTCATCTCGATCCATTACAATTACACCAGCTGCAAGTTTTTGAAGTATAGGCCTCATTTTGGATAATAACATGGACCCCTAATTCTTCTGCTTTAGCAACCAGACGTTGGCGAAATTGATAGCGGCTCCAACAGAACATTTTTACGAACGGTTTTTCGTGTTATCTTTCTTGTTTTTCGATTTACCATATATTCGACACCTCAAAAGGAGGGATGATGATTCGCGAGTAAAAAATGCGACACTCTTTTTATGAACTTTCGCTTTGCAGGTGTTTGATTTTTCGTCGCATCCGAAAGATTGCCTTATCAAGTCGCAAGGCTTTTTTCTTCTTACGTTTTGAACTAGAGGCAGCCAGCTTGTCTTTTACTATTATAGAAAGAAGATTACCCATATGCTTGCATAGACGAATACAGTAGAACCATTATATTCACTATTTTTCATATTATTAGCCCATGCCTAATAATAATAAATTTTAATTGCATTTTAAAGCTAAACTGGTTGAGGTAAACATTTTACTTGCATATTGCAGTTATCATTATAGCTAACATATTTCATATAGGCCTACCTCTATATAATATATGGGGCATGCTGCAACAAAACCAGACAAAGTGAACATTTTATTATGTGACATAAATAAGAGGCTAATTATGATGTGGCTGTAAAAGTGACCAATGTGACTAATGATGTTTTGAAAAGTAATATGGTGCTCATTCATAACTTATGGACTTGTTAATTTTAATGTTCACTTTATCATACCAGAATGTGATAAATATAAACCATAACAGGATTAATATAGGATTACCTCTATATAAAATTATAATATGAAACTAATTTACATTAAATCCACTATGGAACCCAAAAATTACAGCACCATTAGAAGCATTCTCAAAAAAGCCCAAGGAGAAAAAATTGCGCCTTATGTTTTTAAAATCAATGATACCCAAACACTCCAGGAATATCTAGATAAAGAAAAAATCACTTATGAAATTTACCAAGAGGAAAGGAAAATCATAACTAATAAACGAACCTTAACTCCAACTTATGATGAGCCAAGAAAGAAACGAAAGGTCGAAACATAAGCAAATAGCTACTCTTTTATTACTGTTAATAATCGGGACAAATTTTCTATAACTGTATGACAATAAATACGAGAATTTTGGTTCGTGCTACAAACCTGATACAATTCATGACCAGCAAATCATTACCGCATTAGAGAGAATGATAAAATGGATCTCGAATAATTTATTGAAGGGCGGTCGATCCAAACTTTAGGAGACCGATGATGCGTTTGTTCATTTTGTATAAAGACCGTTTGATCGACGCATCAACTGTTTCAGAATCCGTAACCGTAACATATTTATAATCAGTAAGAGCCTTGATCGGCACCTGATGAGCTTATTATAAAATAACACGACCCGCACTCGTTTTCGTCTTAGAAAAATCAAATCACAAAATCTTTCCGACATCAATCTTGCAAACAATAAAAAAAAGCAAACAACAAATCATTCAAACAATGCTTGACTTCACTATCGAATTCATTTTTGGGTTGCTGATCGGACTTGTCTTCGGTCCTTTGCTCACGACTAATCAGCCCTATGTTGTAACTCAAATGCTCAAAGCAACAATTCACGCAATCAAATTAAAATCCAAAACCAGACGACCGCTCTGTGAGCGAAAGTATTTTTTATACTTATGGAAGGATTTTGAAATTTCTATCAAAAGACCTGAGCTGGACTCAGTTTTATTTAACAAAGTGGTTATAAAATTCCACAAATCGCGCGAAAGAAAAAGCATCATTGCTTTTATTCTAAAAGGCCTTCACCGACAAAAATTCTCGAGAAAAACGATCGAAGCGCTTAAAAAATGGGTAGATAAAGAAAAGGAGAGGGGAAATGTAGACATTAATAGCATTTATAATAACATATAGCATAGATTTCACTAGAGCGACTAAAGTATAGGGATACTCATCAATGGCTTTGGGTCCGAGTATTTCCTCCCATGCAATCGCTCTAGTGAATATGCAAAAGTACTGTACATACTTTGTTTAAGAGAGTAATAAAGAGAATCGATTGTTGTAACTATTTTTTTGCAATTCAAATTCAGTTATCCATTAGCACACGACTCGTTACGTAAAAAACAATTTGCTTTACTTCCGAAAACAGAATTGCATTACGTAGTAGCAGAATACAATACAACATTTGTTAACGTGATATGCAAAGAAGCGTATAAAAGAGATTTCCCTTTGTCTTCATTATCCTTTGTCTCTGACAAAAGCATGGAGGGTTCCCGATCTGCTTTGCCAAGTGTGCTGGACCTGGCACCTGTAGTTGATTCGGCGCTTCAATACGGAGAGTATCACATGTTTGTGTAAGTAAAACGTATATACAGGGCTGAGTTGGGCGGGCGCAGATCGCGACTCTTCTTTTAACACGAAAAACATCAACATGGACGCTATGAACGTAGACCCACTGAGCCCGCTGAAATTTGGTGCTCAATATGGACGAGACTATCCCGACGCAACTGACAAGAAGATCGAAGAAGCATACGAGGAATATAAAGACTTCTACATTAATTACCATCGCGACAACCCCGCAGCAACAACAGATTGTTACGCGGAATACCTCGAAACACTCGGTAAACAAGGTAAGCAAACACGTTTATTGGGAGAAGAGTTTGAATACTGTTACTGGTTTTGTGCTATATTGCGAGAGAGAGAGAGGGGGGGGGGCAGTTGGGCGCTATTAGTTGGGGCAGAGCTGCGTCGCAGTAATGGAGAGAGAGTAATTGGAATGCATTACGACATGCGTCGGGGTTGGGACATAGAGCAGAGTCGTAGCAAAGGTTGGATTACACGTAACTCGCTTGAAAGGCAAATAAGTGAGATATGACACGTTTGGGTTAAGTAGAGTAGGAGCAATGGAGGAAGAATAGTTCGAATGCTGTTATAGTACACGCGTTGGGAGGAGCAACGAGAGTTCATAGAGTAGCCATGAGAGTAGTCGAAATGCGTTTGTTTTCTAATTTGTGTCCTTCTTAATGATACTGAT